AATCCCATGGCAAAACTCGGCTCGCCCACCGCTGCAACTCATCTGGCGCGCCGCAAGCCGGGCTCCCCACCCTAATCGCGGCTCCAAGCCGCACAGTTTTTGCAGCGGAAATTGTGGCGGCCACCCACTGCAGGCGGCCGCTGCGCCGGAATTTTTTTATTTGTTTATATTTTTCTTTCATCCATATAAATTCAACACATCTTCCTTTCAATCCATCCAATCTCATCTCTCTAAATTTAAATATTTTTTTAATTTCTCTTTATATATCTCAAAAAAATGGCTTTTTCTCCAAGAGATGATGAGGTCGTGTATTTTATCTTTTATATCGATGTTGTTTTTTAAAAAAAGAATGTCAATCTTAGCATTTTTATTTTAATTATTTTTATTTTGATTTTAAAAAAAGTTATAATTAAAAATGATGAATAATGAAAAAAAGAAGAAGCGGGATTTCAGGGCGGACGGGACAAAAAAGTTAGTAAAATGCTGATGTTGCAAGAATTGGGACAAGGCGGATTTGTTGTGGTTGTAAATGCTCTAAGCACTCCAACGGCATTGCATAACTTTAAATCTTTAATAATGACTTGCGAAAACATTGCTTTTTAAAGTATCTTTGCAAACTTTTAAGCAACTTGTACTACTCCCATACAAGATAGATATCTATCTCAACAAAATATGTCATCTATTTGTGTGGGGTGCAAAGTGGTATATTACTCTTGTTGTACAAAGGCAAAAGCCCTTATCTTATGTGCATCATGTGAGGTTTTCCATGGCATTCATCACCTTCCAAGAACAACAATGACCCCAAAAAGTACTAGGTACTCAATAAAAATAGACAAAACATTAAAATCCTACAAGGTAAAAAGTAATAAATCAAGCGAACAAATTAAAATAACAATAAATCGAAGCATGTTGGCGTAGTGGCAAGAAAACCACTAAGGCTTCTTCACATCCAGGGTTCGAGCTTCACCCATGCGTTTAAGAGATAGAGATCATAAGATTGAACAAATACTACTCTGGGAGGTACTAAAAAAACAATTACATTCCGCAACATCTTCCAAATTATGGTAGGTAAAAGATAAAGTGTGCAAGGCAACTAGAACAAAGAATTTTGAAGGCTATTTGAGAAAGTGCCACACTCTATATGTTGATCATTAGAATGCCTCATAAAAGAAAATAAGAGATTGAAATGTTAAACAATCACATTTTATGTCAACCTTGTAATATTTTCTAAAAATATCTCAAATACACATCAAGATATAAATACTTAACCCTCCCAAACCCTCAAATCACCTCCATCCCAACTCAATAACCAACCCTTAAGACAACAACAAAGTTCAGATGAATACCCAAAACTCCAATGCAAGAACACGTCAAACCGTAGCAATGCGCCTATAAACAGCTTGAAAGGTCTCCCCGCCATTCCGGGCAACCTTTTGACCTTCCTCAGTTGCAGTAATCAGTAGCTTGACAGCGGGATCGTCTTCAAGCTCTTCACAAGAAAGAGCTTCAAACAATGGGTGATCTTCCAAACAAGACTTCATCCACTCCCCCAGCTCCTCCACGTCCGTGACGGTATATATCACACCCCCAGCAGCAAGAGCATAAGCATACTCATCCAACAGGTTAGGGCTAATCACTCGCCGCCTATGGTTCTTCTCCTTAAAGTGTGGGTCAGGGAACAAGAAGAACATCTTCCTAAGCTGCCCTTTTTCAAAGTAATTCGGAATGTACTTCATAGAATTCGTTCTAACGACCGAAATGTTCCCGAATTGCCCCGGATTATTAGCCCTCAACGCGACAATCCGCTCCTTCACATACTCTGTCACCTTATCCCTCAATTCCATCCCAATCATTAGGGTTTGGGGAAAGAGGGGCGAAAGGGAAATCAAAAGGCCGCCAAATCCACACCCGATGTCTGCAAATTCGATCTTTTTCGAGTTTCCAGCGGATAACACTGGGTAATGAGATGCATAATCAACTTGGGAGGGGCAAATTGGGACAGGGAAATGTGAATCGCTCAGAGGATTGCTATGAGCCCTAGCTCGGTAAAAGCGCTTACGAGGCAGTCCTGTTCTCTTGCTCAGAGTGGAAATGGCTTCGCCGGCAGACATATTTTTCCTAACCACGGGCAGATAAATATGCAATTGAAAGGTGTGTAAATCGCGCACAGTGCAAACCTTTGGAGAAATCGAAGGAGGAGATGCCCGCCGGACGGAGTAATGGCGTCGGCGGCGGGAGAAAAGGTCGGATCCGAAACGGAGCGGCGCGCTTGACTTCGGGTCTTCTCAGAGATTTAGGGTTTAGCTCGTTTCTAAAGATTGTTATGGCCAGGGGTATCGTAGAGGGGTATGCAGGGTATTTGGTTGGTACCGGTAGAGTGCCAAATATTTTTGTTTAAATTGGATTTTACATTGGATTGATTCTCGAGTATTGGTTTATTTTGGGTTGCGGTAAATATTGGAATAAATATATATACGTACCTAGTTTACACTTTGAAATGTACAAAAAATTTTATTTTAAAAAAATCAAAAGTACATTCAAATAAAGAAAGATAAGCAATTGAACAATTAATACGAGTAATTAAATGCAAGAAATGCTTATAAAACTTAGTTTAATTTATATTTCGCATTTCACAAACAAAAGAGAACCAATGATAACAATATAGTATTTCAAATACTACTGATTTTTTACATTCATCGACAAAAAAATAAAATTCAAATAAATAATTATTTAAATAAAAGATAATTTGTAATTCATCTACACTTGAACCAATTTTTCGTAATCAATTTATTTTTAATGAAGAAATATAAAAACATTGTTATTTTTATAACATATTTGTATACATAAATGGTTTTGGATTTTTCGATATGGGAAGTTAACTTGTATCGATTCCAAATACTGGATCAACCATTCGATTCGGTATGGTACGGTTCTTTTTCGGAATTTTATCGATTTGATATTTTTGGATTTGGTAACCTCAATTTTTCAAGAAATTTTGGAATCGGTTCAGTACTTGCTCACCCCTAGCGACAGCCCCGGGGTAGTGCTTCTCGTAATTATACCATTCTACCAAAAGCGTATATGCTAAAAAATTATGTATTTGCGTATCGTATTACATATTACATACTACAGATACACACGTATTTGTGCGTCTGCACATATATTTTAGATATGCATCTGTCTTATATTAATCTCTAATGTAAATTCGATATAATAATATTAGTTAAAATTCATTCCGTTTGACTTAAAACATTCCAAATGAACAAATATTCTATGACCGAGGAGGCAATATGATTTGTGTATAATTAGAACACTTACTCGAATTAATTATCATAAGGTATGTATAAAAGATATTTTCACAACAAAATTATGAAAGATTATCATGTCATTTTAAATTGTTGCTTAATTGGATTTGTTAATAATAAAACATTACACCTCATCACTGAAATAATACTTTTTTAGGCCAAAAACAAAGAATTGAAGATCACACTGCATGGAATTATAATCGGAAAGCCAATTAAATGCCACCTAAAATTAGGTTCAAATTGCAACAAGTTGCACTCTTATAAAGTATTAAACACCTCAAATTTAAAGGGTGCAATAAAATAACAAAAAAAATCTGGAAAGTTATTTCACTTATTTGTCCCCATCGATAGCAACAACATCAATACTGTGTGTTCTTTAAATGATGTTTTTTCTCTCCCTTAATTTATTTTCCTCGATCTCCCACTTTTGTCAATGAAATTAGATAATTATTTTTTGATATAAAATTAGATAAATTTTAATCATCATAAGGTTAATAATAATAATAATAATCCGAGTACAGTCACAAAAATAGAGACGCAGATCTTATCGTACTCAACGTTTTTAGATTTTTTATTATATAAATCTTGTTCAATCATTTATTGCTCATATGTTATGCAATTTTTATTTAACTGATAATCAAAATTAATACATTTATAACTTTAAAAATTAAACTAGATTAAGACGTTAGATCGAAAATATCAAAAAAGAAAAGCCACAATGCCCCTGTAGCAAATTGACAATTCTAACAGAGCTACGGGTTCGGACTTTAAGAAGTACTCTCCCATCTCGTAGAAAAATTCTCATTTTAAATACTCCGTAATATTTAGTCAAATATTTACACGCTTTGACTATAAATTGTGAGAAAGGTATATTGAATTATAAAATAAATTTAATATAACTGGATTCATCTTAAGATCTAGTTTTGATATCTCAAATTTTTTTCGCATTTCTTTATTTAGATTATATTTAATTTATAGTCAAAGCGTTACACGCTTGACCAAAAATACATCAAAATGAGTACTTTTTTGTGGGACAGAGAGTAGTACTTAATAAGCAATAATTATCAATGTGGTCCATTGTAAAAAATGTTTATTAAATGACAATTAAACAAAGGGTATTTTAGTATTATTCATCATTTGAACTACAAATAAGTTCTCAAAATGATTCTTTCAAATTAAGTGGGTGATTGCTAGAGGACGGACCCACCGTTGGGTAGGCTCATTGACTCCATTTCGGAGAAACATTTATTTAGAAATTATAAGTTTCGAAGTATACTTATTTATTGCTTATTGAAAACTACTTTGAGAAAACACCTTATTATAAATGACAGTTTTAGAAATTTATTCATAATATAATATGACACTCAAAATCAGTGTAAACCAAAAAAGGACGACGAATTTCGTCCATGATAGCTCTTCAGAACGGGTCGGATGGTTATCAATAACTCTCAATTTGTATTACATATTAACACAATAAAGTAATATTCTGAAAGTTCTAAACAAGATAAATCTAAGCAAAATCATTTTTATACTAATATACTCCGTATTATATATTTTTGTTTAATTAAGTTTCAAAAGTCATCTAATTTGAATTGAAAAGTTACTAGTCATTGAGTTTGCATTCCAGAATTATGTTGCTCAACCACAACCATTTGCCAAAAAGGGATGAGTTTAATAATCCACAACCGAAAAAATGAAAAAGTTAAAAATTTATTTTTAGGTAGGAATTACCGCAAAAAAGAAAATTTAGAAATTTACAATCTTTTTCTAACTGGGATTATATAGTAATATTTCCCAAAAACTCTAATTCTTCAACTGAAGGAGTGAGTGAAGGGAAAAGTCCCAATCGGGCCTAAAATTTTATTTGTCCGAGAAATGTGGGGCGAATGTAGTATTATGGTAAACATCAGGCCGATGAACAATAAGCTCTTATCACATCTACTTGGGGAATTGGTCGATAATTAAAACAAGTTGCTAAACATTGACCCATGATTTCACGTTAATTACAAAACCTCCCCATCGATTTCCCTTAATTTCCCACCACGTCCTCCCGGAATTCTCGGGCTCAGGTGTCATCTTCCCAGTCCCAATCCTCCGGGCAACACCACTGTAGCGTCGGAGCTTTCTCGTCGGCGAGCAGAATCGTGCACGAATCGTACGAATCTGGCAGGATGGTCCTCGGAATCTCCGAGAACGGGAAGGAAGCCGTCGACCGATACGACGGCGGCGCCGCCATGAACGCCGGAGAGACGGTGGCGTTGGGGCTGTTCTCCTCGTTGAGGATCGCGCTGGAGTCGCTGTCCGACGACCAGTCTTTAAACTCGGAGAAAATCGAGGCCGCTCCGGCGTCGTGGAAGTGGTGGAACTGGAGTCCGGTTTCGTCGGCCGGCGAAATGGCCGGCGGGTTGGAGTGGTGGGCCCACTGCTCGTCGCCGACAGATTCTATCGCTTCTTCCTTCACCGACACTTTTCTCTCTCCCTCTTCCACATTTAGCTCTTCTTTCAGCTCCCTAATCTGCAAAGTCAATTTTAGGAAAATTTAACAAATTTAAGGGGCCCTTTCGTCATTTCATTTGAAATTTCTATTCAATTCCTATCAAATTTGTATTTTAGAGTTAAATTAGACCAAATTTTATCAAAGTATGTACTACATTGTGTCATTGTACTCCGTATATTGGTACTCTAATTTTTATTGGATTTAATTTTAAAAAAATTGTTCCATGAGTACATTCTTTATTTCTGAATATATCTCGTATTTCTATTATTGAGATAAATATCAAGTTTTTTCAATTTATTTTATTTACGTATTGATATGGAAATAAAAAATAAAATTTCCATTTCAAAAAACTACATGACAAGTTTTTTGAAACAAGAGATGTCAATAATATTTTATTTTATCAAATAACCAACAAAAGTATAGAAATAAATAAAAATTCCCGCTAAAGCAAATGTGAGATATATTTACAATTAAATATATAAATATAAAAAGAATAGAGAGATAATCCAGACTATACAATTTATTCTTTAATAAAAAGATAATGACAGAAATTTTTGAATATTATAATAATTTTGGCAATTTTATTTTTAATTTTCTTAGATTAAAAAATGTGAAAATATTAAAACCAGTATTTTTACCTGCTCAAGCAAAGCTTCATTGTCGTTCTGGAGAGATTCGAATTGGTGCTTGAGAGAATCATAATTGGCTTTGAGAACACCGTAGTCTCTCTCCATCTGCTTCGTCTTCCACCGCGCGCGGCGGTTCTGGAACCAAATCGCCACCTGCCGCGGCTGAAGCCCGAGCTCCATGGCCAGCTTCACCTTCCGCTCCGGCTCCAGCTTGTTCTCCACCTCGAAATGCTTCTCCAGAGCCTTCACCTGGTGCACCGCCAGCCGCCGCTTCTTCTCTCCGCCGCCGTGCCCGCCGGATTCCTCCGCGCACCCCAATTCCTCCTCCTCGATTCCCTCCATCATCGACCGGAATTCCCCTGCCGCGTACACATCTGTGCAGGAAATCAAAAACAAAACAAAAAAAAAGGGAAAACAGATTCACGGATTATTAGGGCCTCGTTTGGGGAGTGCTATTAGGATGAAAATTAAGAGAACTTTTTAACTCGGGTTAACCTAATGCTGACCCGCCCCCGGAGAATGAATCGGAGCCTCCGATCGGTCTTTTCATGGCCGTCTGCAAAATGTTAGAAGATAAAGATATCAATTTCTCCTTCTTCTTCGTATGAAAGTTTGATTTTTCGCTTTTTAATTTTAGATTTCTGCGGCTAATTGTTCAGAAGAAAGAAAGGGAAGGGGAAAGTGAAAGGAGTTTAAGCAGAGGCAGCTGCGCTGGCCTGGGCCGATGAAAACCACTTTAAATAAGAGGGAACCGCGTGGTCAAACGGTGGGTTAGAATCTAACTCGAGTTAAGTCTCTTCCACTACATACTCCCTCCGCCCCAGTTTTTGTCTACTTTCATTTTTACACATCATCCAATGCACTTCTTTAATGCATTTAATAACTATATTTAGGCTTACACATTGAGAAAATTTGATGAGTCAAAGTGCTTAGATGAACAGTTCAAAAGTCAAAAATTGACAAAAACTGGGAGACGGAGGGAGTAGTGCATACTGCCTCCGTCCCTGAATATTAGTCCAGTTTTGACTTTTTTTGATCAACTGTTTACGACCTTTTACGTATAATTAAATAAAGCATACATTGTATTTTATATTCTTTTTAGTTCTATTGACTTTATTATAACTGTAGTATATACTCAGTATATGTCCATATTTTAAAAACTAATGAAGTATAATGCCAAGGACTCTACTTGATATTAAACTAATATTTCTACCCGTTCCATGCACGGGTTCGGACGGAATTTTTTTCGATTCTATAATGTGGATCTTGATTTTAATTTTACATATTATTTAAAGGTCAAATATAAATGATCTATGTTTGATGCATTTTTACAAATTTATATTTTTTATCGCAGTATAAATTCGAAAATATATTACGGAGTAATACAAAAGTATTAGTGATCAAATGATTTTTTTTTTCTCACATTAATTTAAAAAAACCTAAATTACAGACCTTATAATTATATACTTCCTCTGTCCATGTGTATTTGTCAACTTTTGACTTTTTTTGTCAAAATAGGTAAATTTTGTCCTCAAATTAAATAAAAACGATATTGGATATTGATACAAAATTAGTTTTATTAGATTTATTATATCATCCATTTTCAAAATATTTTTTATGTAGTTAATATATAATATATATTTTATTTAATTCTAAGTCAAATATTGAAAACAATTAGTCGAAAAAGTCAAAACTTGACAAATACTCAGGGACGGAAGTAGTAATTAAAAAATAGGATTCTTCTCATCCATAATCCTTATCTACCCCCCCCCCCCACCCCCACAATGATTATAAAAAGTTATTATTCATTCTTGCATTATTAAAAAAACAAAATCTTAAATTAGTGATCGTAAATCTCTATGATTAAAATTTTAATTTTAAAATATTAAGAATCAATTATTCTTCTCCCCTACATTTATTTTAAAAAACATTAAAATTTTAGTGCTCTAATAATTTTGTCGGAGATATAAAATGTTCTATAAAAATACAAATAATTACAAATTGGAAATTGTATTTTCTTTGATGTGGTTGTAACCTGTAACTAAGTCTCGAACTTATTAGCTAGTGCACTTTGGATTTTCTGCACAATTTTTCCTAATTTTTTGATTATCCTAAATCTTCATTGTCACAAATTTTTTCACGCTCCCCTCCACACCTTGATCTTCTTTGTCACAAAATTTTCTTTGCATAAATCTGTGTCGTCTCATAAAATATCATCTTATGAAGTTTCCATGTACGGTTGCGTAAATCAAAACGTAGGAAGTAAGTTCTCTCTCATTCAAAATTTCTTAATCTTATTTATAAACATTTTGAATTGTAACACAATATAAATATGTACTGAGTCAATTGTAAGTTACAATATAAGATTATTTTAATTAAAAATATTAAACCAAGTTACCAAGATAAAGTATAAAAGTCCTATTAAATCTTTTTTCTAATTTGTTTATTTTAAAAATTCAATATTTTAAAATAGTCAAATTGCATGGAAATACTTTTATTTCATATCACAATTAGTCATATTGCCATAAACAAAACTTCTATGTAAGATATGCATTGAGTCAATCTCATAGTAGACATATTATCTATTTGTCTAAAAATAAAGTACATAATCATGACACATATAATTATTCCTTAAAAAAATATAGTCTTAAGTCTTTTAGTAACCTAATTATAAATTATAAATTTCTTTGTGTAATCTCGAAATAGTCTCTTCGAATAATGTATTTTCCAAAATCAGTGTTTTTAAGCATTAATTATCTATGGAGTACTTTATAGTTGAGATTTATTCACTTAGATTTATAAATTAAAATTTTATGTGAAAAATGTAACTATTATTTTAGAAGTTGATTTTAAAAATTTATACTATTATTTTATTATTTTAAATGTTGATTTTCTTAAAAAAGAATTTTAGTTCTCACTCAATTGCATAAAACTTCATGTATTGTTCTAATTTCTTTAACAATATTCCCTTTGTGTTTGGATTTGATCATCTCAATTGACTTTTCTTGTCAATTTTGTATACCTTAACACCAATATACAAAACAAACTTTGTCTTTCGGTAGAAATGCATTACAAATATCTTCTTTTTGAAACTAAGAAATCTCTTAATATTTGGTGACGGGCAATGCTACGTACACAAACAAAAGGATCACAAACCTCACAAACTTACTATTTATGGTTTAAATTCTCATTTTAAAATTATTTTAGACTATTTAATTTTCTTTATTGAAGTTTACAAATGGTAAGTTTGTAAAATTTGTGAAGTTTGAGTTTGTGAACCAAGCATTTCCCTTTGGTGACTCCTATTTTGGAGAAAAAAATGCATTTTTATTACAATATTTTCTCCATGTTTATTCTTATTCTGGTACAGAATAATTTTTTCCAAAAAATTATAGCAACATTGTACATAAGACAAATACTCGGTATACAACTTAAATTGGATCTACTCATATTTTGATTAAAATTGCCACGTCACTCAATCGTTAATAGGTGGCCGGTGATCTGTTAAAATGTTGCCATGTAGATTCGTCACTTCTCGCAATTCTATGAGATTAACTCTCAAATTTGATATGTAAAGATTCAGAAATATTTATCAAACTTTTAATTTCATATTTTCTACATCAAAATCTATGTGACATATTAGGTGTTAAAAAGAGGCTCATGAGTAAGCCACATGTCAGTTCTGAATTATCCGAGTCTCATATAATTGCATATTTTTCCTAATTTTTTTTATGTTCATTATACTTATAGATTTGGCTATTTTAATTGTATGAGAATAATATTAAATATAAACTAATTATTATTAAAATTGTACTTTTTTCTTAAAAAAGTTACTTTTTAAAATCTGCACTAAGTTAAAATTTATACTAAAAAAATATTTTTTAAATTAACTAATCATCTACTTGTGTTCAAATTTTTCTTCTTTCTAAAAAATATTGTCAAACTCGACAATGAATATTTTGATCTAATTTTTAAATATTATATTAAATGTATTTGAAATTAATATATTGGTGAAGTGTGTATCTTATCTACCATTATAAGTTACGTTGTAAATGAAAAGAAAACTTTATTCGCATTAAGTTCAGTAGTCAATATAATTTTTGAAGAAATATGATATTTTTTATATTAAATAAAGTTATTATAATAATAATTAGATCAAAATTTTATTACTAAATGTTAAAGGTTCTCATTTTTAATTTGTTTTAATTTATTGTTATTTTTCTATAAAAATGATTTAATATCCTTTTTATTCAATTGACTGATTTTAAAGCTTAATTGGAGCCCGAGCAAAATATTATGGTAAAAATTTTACTGAAAATTTTGTTAGTTAAAAAAGAAACTTTTCTTTTTTCCATTAATAATTTTTATTTTATGCAATACTATATTTATGTTTCACTAATTTTATTATGTTACATAATTTCTTTTATTATATCATAAATTAGTCGAAGGAAAATTCGATTCAATTCTCTTGATGACATGGCTGATTAGGTGTCAAAAAACATCCTAGTCATCACGCCAAATGTCGCAATTCTGAGAGTTCAACTCTCAAATATAATATATAAAGGATGTTACAATATTTTTTTGATGAAAATTAGTGATTAAGTATTTTTGTAAATATTCGAAGTATATTATAAAAAAGAAGTTTATTTTGAAACAAAAGAAATCATAATCAGACATCAATGGCACCATAGGACTCCCCCTACCCACAAAGGCTTGGACATTGGCTGCTTAAGTGTTTAGGTGTGCTTAATTTTGATTTAAAAATTGACTAGTTTGACAACAGAATCTAAAAGCACATCAGAATCTCAGTTTCTGTTTCCCTATATTTTTAAAAGGTTGAAAATCAAGTACCTTAAATATTTTACAATGTTTTCATTCCAAACAAAATTTAAAATCATTTTTAAAATCAATCATGAAGACCATTTTGTATGGCCACAAACTTGCTCGCGACAGTTAGTGGCAGATCTAGAAGGAAATTTCATTGGACTCGCATTTTTTGTTGCTCGAGTATCTTAATGTTCTTATTTTGGTATTTGAGCAGTTTTCATCTCGCTTGGGACGTAGGCACGTAGATCAATTGATCGAAAATGTAACACCATAGGTGGGTGAACTAACGGTGAACCTGAAGTTGAATCATTGCAAAAATGGAAATTTTTAAACATGAAGTTATTGCACGTATCAGTGATCGATAAATTTTACTCTCTTAACAAAACTTAAACTATAGCTTAATTTAATGCCTCCCACCCAAAACTAAAGATTTTGGTTTCACATTAACATTGTCTATTTATGTATTATCATTGCTCATTTCATAAAACATAAGTATATTCATGACTAGTTTCTTATTTTTTAAAAAATTTTATAAACTACTTCCGTCCGTCCGAGTATTTAAGTTCAATTACAAATCACCTAGTGAATCCCTACTAATTTTTGTGGGGGAGAGAGTATATTAGAAATTAAATTAATATTTGCATACATTATAGTACTTATATACCTTAATTTATCAAAGTATTTTTTTTGACATTCATAAAAAAAATATTATAATATAACATTGGACATTTACACTAATGTGAACATGATATATACAAACAATTCCTTCTACCCCTTGCACTCCACGTGTTTGGGATGAGAGAAAGATAATTATGGTGGATAAATTCTATGGTGAATTTAAGATCCACCGTGAAATTACATAAGAGTAAAATAAATATTTTTTTACTAGTCGACTAAACATTTGTTTTTAATACTCCTTAAAAAATAAAAAAC